TCTTCTTCTTCTTCTTCTTCTTCTTCTTCATTTTGGTGAACACTGATAATGGTTAGCACCTATTTTTTCAGTGGAGTGTTTTCCTGGCTGGAAATGAGAACATCTGGCCAATTTCCAATAGTCTCTTGCTGAAAAAGCGCTACATATGTATAGAAATGCAAACACATGCTGACATAAACATATACCGGTACATGTGTGTAAGCATATGTGCATGCATGTGTGTGTGCGTGGCATGTGTGTGAAGGGATTATATGGAAAACACCTTCAAGTTCCACCATCAGGCAATTAAATAAGCTATTGATTTACGACTATGAAGATCTCATTTTTTTGGACTTTTCTTTTTGTACTTTGGTTCACCAAGTGAGTTTATTGGCTTTTTCATTTAACCTGCCCATTGGAATACTTAGTATCATCTAATGACTAGGTTTTATGCTTGGTTAATCTGGATATTGCTTCTCATACCAATCTCTATCATTGGTTATTTATTGCCTGTCAGCAACTGACTTGTTGAACTAATGGCTTTGACCAGAAATTCATTGAGGTTCATGGGACTACTCCAATTTCTCTACACAAAGTTGTCAAATGTTTTGTCCAAAGAGGCCCTGTATTACTCTTGCATATTACCTTTTATTGCGTTCTTTGAAGCTTTTCCCTTTGTGCTTTATCTCTAAGTTCAGTCTTTGAGAGGTGATCATTGTTGTGGTAAAATGGATTTAGGACCACAACATAGTAATAAAAAGACTCAAGATAATTAGGAGACCAGGAGTTCTTTGAGGTCTGCATGGTCTATATGCACAGCTGAGCATTGAGCAGTGGTCTAGGCAGGTGCCTAGAGTTGCTGCCTGCACCAACCCCGATCTTGGTGGTAATCTCCTGGAATGCCTCAACGCTGAAGCTCATGTGTCCATTTGGGGGCTTTTGACTACAGAGAGTCATGGCTTGCCTTGAGATGACTTGTAGCCTTGTAGACTGCTATTGGCTCGAAGAGCAACATTGGCATTCTTACAACTATATATTTGAGAAAATGCTGGACTTCATGTGGCAGCTGGCTTTTGCTTTGGGAATGGATGTGGCTGCTTGGTTGTACTTGTTCTCTATCATCATAAAAAAAGTTTTTTCACCATAGAACTATTGTTATACATCAGGTATAACTTTTAATTCTTTGTGGAAACATATATTTAACTAGTTTTTCAGGTTTTTATTTCTCTGTCTAACCTAATTTTACAACCCAACAAGAAAGATAAAATTTGTTATGATCATTGACAATGTTTCAACTTGTTGAATGGCATGTCTTGTGTATAGTTAAAGTGTGATTTTGGTTGCATTGAAAGTTGTGTATATGCATGTGGCCTGCTGGATGATTGTTTGGAAATACCTCATGATGGGCTATTGACCTATTGAAACACATCTATTATTATGTAAGTGTTTTTTTTTTCGTATGTTAACCTTTATTATGTAAGAAGTGTTAAATGTGAAGTTTTTTATGTACCAATCAGAAATAACACACAAAAGTGCTAAATGTGTGCAGTTTTTTTATGTACTAACCAGTCTCTCCCTCATGGTCCTCGAACCAGTCTCTCCCTCATGGAACAGACCAATAATATAAGAAGATAAAGATGAAGCTTTGTCATGCACCTTTGAGCCAATAGGACAGGGCATGGAGGAAGACTGTGGATGATCTCAAGAAAGATAAGACATGCCAATTCAAGATAGCAGCTCAACCTTACAACCCCAACAACTCAACAACCACTGTCTCTTGGCTCATAGAGAGAGATATTCCTAGTGCTACTTATATCATTAGAGCATATGCCTTAGATTCTCAAGACAATGAATTGGCCTATGGCTAAACCACCAACAAGAACAAGACCACTAATCTCTTTGAAATTCAAGGCATTAATGGTACACATGCTTCTCTCGACATCGCAGCTGCTTGCTTCTCCGCCTTCCTGGTGTTCTCTCTCTTTGGCTTCTTCATTGGGGAGAACAGGTGTGCCTTATTACAGCTAGGTGCATTGGGCCTCCTCTTGGAGACAGCTAGGTGTGCCTTCTTCGTCGACGTTGTGGAGCCTGCAGAAGGCATGCTCTTGATTGTTGAGAGCTTGATAATGGAGGCTAATGAGAGTGACATTGGCATCTTAGAGAGTGTGCTTGCTGCTTCCAATGATGGCACAAGCTCGGGGGACTGGTGAGCAAGCAAGAAGGGTACTCTTGATGTTCTTAGAGCGGCTTTCCCACCCTTCTGGTCTAAAAAAATCAGCAAAGCAGCAATGAAACAATGAGATGGTGGGTCGAATATCTAACATATGGAGAACAAGCTGCCATGGAAGTGCTGATATAACACTTTGAGCCGCATTTGCAAAATTGGAGAACCAGCCACCATCGAAAAGGGTGGTATCTTTTTTCCTATTTCATGAGGTGTTTGACCTCCTTGTATCTTTCCAATGGTTTGTTAATGATTGTAATTAGTCATTATTTAATTAATGGCAATCCAGGGGTTTGTAAATGGTTGTAATTGGTCGTTGTTGAATTAATGGTAATCTTTTGTGAATGAAATTCTCTGGTTTCTGGTATTAATCAGTTTTTTTTTTTTTTTTGTTTGGGACAGACATAAACAGAGAGAGAGAGAGAGATATCTGGTCATCAACTACAATAAAACACACATAATCTTTTGTGAATGAAATTCTCAGGTTCTTTTTTCTGCACGCCCTCCGGTGTGGTAAAAGGTGAGATTGTAGCATACGCTCGACATAAAAAATAAAATAAAGTGAGAACTGTAGGGATATAAATGCATTTCATTATCGAAGTAAAACCCACATTGCACACATTAATGACATACATGGAAAAGAAATCAATGTCACACATATGTTACCAAAAAATCACCAAATAGGTTCTTTAGACTTTAGATGCCCCATAAAGAGGTCCTTTACATGCCCCCATAAAGCGGTCCTTTACATGCCCACAAAATTACATGAATATTGAATATTCACATAACCCCCAAATACTTCTACAAAAATGGGTATTTACATGTCTCCAAAAATCAAAAAATTACTGAAGTCCTTTACATTCCCCATAAATTAGTCAAAAAATTAGTCAACTCGTTTCGAGGTCCTCAGTAGCTCTACATCCCATGCGCCTCACGAGACAGTTACGTTTGTCATGTCCACTTTTATTGCAAAGTTTACACTTCCTTCCAATGGGTGGCCCTTCCTTCGGTTGTTTTTTCAACGTAGAAGCTTTTGGCCCTTCCTCCCATGAAGGTTTTATCCTTTTAGTCCTTGGTTGTCCAACTGCTCGTGTATATGGTGGATCGAGTATAAGGGGATCTAATACTGCCACATACTTCATCTTTAACGGCACTGCAATGAGTGGAGGCTGATGGTGCATGAGTATTCGACAAAGACTCTTGTTGCATTGGCCTCCGTAGCTAACTTGGAGAAACCCAAGTTCACTTTTTCAAATAAATCATCATTTTCTAATGCTGGCTCTACAATTGTTCTCACCAGGTCATAAAGCTCATGACGTCGAATGAAACTCGAAAATTTAGATATAGTCGAACTACTAGCACCACATTTGTCTTTGACACCCTTCTTTGCATCCATTGTCCAACGGCTCAAAATGTAGTTAGATGGGATCTTCAATACATTCCTCATTATATATTGAACACTTTGAGCATGTGTGAACAAGGGATCCCAACATGCTCAAAGAACTGACATGTGCATGTACACTTCTTCCCTAATTCAATGAATGTAACCGTCCGAGGGATTGCTACACCGCCAATGTCTTCCACCTTATATTTGGCAAATTCATCATTGCCTTCTATTAATTTGCTAAGGCGATTTGAAGACCTTACCACCTCCTCTTGGAACTTTCTAAATACTTTTTGAGTGTATGTCTATGTTGCATGCTCCCTGATAAGGAAGGTTGTCTTTAGAACAGGTGTAGTGTAAGATATTTACTGTCTTTCTCATTTTCTTTGATGAACTTCTTGTTTTGCAACTTTTCAATAGCATTCATGAATTTTTGTAAACCTGAACCAGAAGTGACGTACATCTTTAAATGACGATTAAACCCTTCACTTCGTTGTGTGGTTTTCATGCCAGCTGTGAACCTATCAGCTATGTATGCATCAACCCATTGAGTGAGACAACCATATAACCACTAGAGCCAACTTTCCTCTTGAAGATCATATTTCTGAATCATAACCAACCAATCAACCTCAAACTGCTCAACTGTGTAAGCTGCAATACACTTCTTGAATACGTCTAAGAATAATGGGTGCGCACACTCAACATGGCTTCGATGTGTTTTAAACTTTCCCATGATGTGCCACTTGCAATAATGATGATTAGTATTCGGGAACACTACCTTGACTGCAGCCGTTATCGCTAAAGCTTGATCAGTGATAATTGTACCTGGTTGGCGGCCTCTCATTGCCTCTAGCCAGTTCTCAGATAACCAAATGAACGTTTTTGTAGTCTCATTGAAGATGAGAGCACACCCGAGGAAAATTGTGTTAACATGAAGATTAACTCCAAGGATTGGTCCAAAGGGCATATTGTATTCATTTGTTTGGTATGTGGTGTCAAAGGTTACCACGTCATTAAAAAGTTGGTATGACAATCTACACTTGGAATCAACCCATAAAACACCAAACAACCTCCCCATCTCATCAAGTTGAACTCTATAAAAGAAATTAGGGTCCATTTCATTTTTCGTATGCAACCAATTCACAACAACATTACCCGCTTTCCCTTTCAGTTGTTTTCTTTTTCTAGTTATGTGATTCTCAAGATCTTTCTCAATGAATGTAACATTTTATGCCCCACTGGCCTCTTCAATAAGGTAATCCATCATAACCCTAGACTTAGCCATAAAAAACTCCAGTGTGTCAATCACCATTTTCACTGTGTATGGTATCTTCCAATGAGAGCGAATGAATCTAGTCTTGTTGGGCATTGTGAGAATATGATTATGTTCTTTTACAACCTTCGCAATAACCCATTTATTATTCTCATTCTTCTTACGCGGATCTTTGCCTGACATCCACATTTTGTGTGGCGGCGAGCATTTTCACTCCCATCATACATCTCACTACGAAAACCTTGCCTACAGCATCCTAAAATCCGACTAATTCTTCCACCATGTTTCCATATGGTACTTCCCTTTCTTATACCAAACCCTACCAATATTGCGTACTTATTATCTTCGTCAGTAAATGCCATTCCTATTGCCGGTTCAATACTTGCACCACTTGCTAGGGCTGCCTCAGTATCTATAAGTAACGGATCTCCTTCTCCATTTATTGCAACTATGTCCTCATCAGATGGAAAATCATGGCAAGCTTCATCCACTGTAGCCTGAGCACCACACTCATTCCCATTTTTTGAATTAGTAATGTTGAGGGGAGAGGAAGGAGATGCTGATGTTGAGGCATCCATGACACAAGCATAGTATACCCGTCCAACCTCCTCTGTTAGCGCTGGTGTAGTAATGGGCGGTGTAGGGATCTGATCCTCCGAACGAGAGCTACTCTCTCCAATGTCCCCAAGTACATCATCATTTGCATTGTTCTCCTAAGGCTCCTCTAATGGGATTCGACAATACTTTCATAGGGACCCGAATGCCTCAAGAGCTCTGTGCTACGGTGGATGTCCTCCCACTACATTATGACACCGAATGTTAATTGGCAAAAATAACACAATAATGAATACTAAAGTAATTTAGAGAAAATAAAGACTATTGCTTATCTATCTCATTAATTATAACAGAGAAAACAAAGAGTACTGCTTATTTATCTCATACCATAGATTTTCGTCCCTTTCTTTCTTCTCCAAGGATCTGCAAACCAGAAATGCAAGTTTGTATGAAATGGGGCTTGTTTTCACTACTCTCAAGCAGAAGACTGTCCAAGAGATACATTCAATAGCCGATTGCAATCACTTATCAATTTTGTTTTTTGTACTACAAGACCCCGGATGACAAGAAGAGCCTCCAATACTTGAGACAAAAGCTCATCTCGCATAAACCTATGTGCACCATTAACAGTAAGTAAGCAACATAAAACCCCAAGATTTCATTTCAAACTTCAACTCCGGAACCCAGAGCTGAAGCTGAAATTAGATTTCAGTCTGTTAAGAATTTAAGTTAAACAAAAAATCAAAGGACAGAATCTCTTCAGATTCTTGACTGAACTTCACCCAAATCCTAGATTCAAATGCATGAAAATTCACCATTGTCATAAAAAAGATGAGAAAACCAAGTTCTTATCTTGGTGCAATTATGGCCATTATGGCTAAAACTGGTGAGCGGCTAACAATCAGATGCCTGCCATCAGCTGCATTAACATTTCAGCATCTTGAAAAACAATGTAGAACTCTATCAGCTGAAAACACCCAAAAACCCCTCCCCGCATTTTGATGAAAAATGCTCAAATCACTTCTTTCAGCCTCACTAGCCAATTGGACATGAACCCACTTCCCCAAAAGAGAACAAATAAAATACGTGGAGGCGACTGAAGAAATTAAATGAATATGACCAAATATTCCATTTCTAAAATTCAAATTCCCAACAAAAAAAATCACAGAACAGGGAAATGAATACTGAACCCATATTTATATAAAAAATAAAAGAAAAAGTTGCATTGTGAAATAGAGAATAGAAGCATACACAAAACCAAATAATTGTATTAAAATTTCAATTGAAAGTCAAGCATTATTTTTTCTTTTAGGGCATTCAGCTATATTCATTGCAACTTCTTCAAGTTATAGATTCAAATGTAGCCATTGCATTACCAATCAAAAGACTAGCAAAAGAGGAGAGAAATGAAAAAACAGATTCACCCAAAATAAATCATGTTATCCATTAATCCTTCCAAATACCACCGCAAAAATGTAACTACCCTCCATTTTCAGAAACAAAATGGTTATTTAAATCATGAGATTCCAGATTAAATGTTTCTAAATCAAACCCACGACATATTATTTGGTAACATCTAGAACATGCAATGAGGGCATAAAAAAATGAGGAAGAAAACCTAGTTTGAAAAACAAAAGAAGAAATGCTAAAAGAAAATCAATTATTAAATTTCCCAATCTCATTCAAGTTCATGACGCATACAGATTCAGAGCAAAATCCAAAACCCACATCATAATTCTCTGAATATTCATCACATACCCAAAAAATCCAACTGAACAAAAACCGATATTCTCCTGAAATTTTCTTGCATGAAGAAAACTAATGAAAACAGACAAAAAGAAAAAAAAAAAAAGACTTCTAATTTACCACAGGAAAGACATGATGGACTGGAAGTTCTTCAATAGCTAAGAGGTGGCATGCAATTTGGTACATCCTCCTCCTCGCGATTTGGCTTTCCATCTCTTCACTAAAACCTCCATGAAGAAGCTTCTTCTCTCTCTAAAGCGTCTGGGAAGTTCACAGAGAGAATGTGGGCAGCAGCGCAAAGAGACTGAGGGGAACTTCGCAGAGCAGTAGAGAGGGCAAAGGGAGAGAGGGGACCTTCGCAGAGCAGTAGAGAGAGCGAGCGAGAGAGAAGGGAGGTTAGCAGAGCAGAGGAGGGTAGCAGGTAAAATATTGGAAGGTTTGAAGCTTTTGAACCTGCGTGCACTGGGTTTTGTTCGCAGATCTAAACCGTTCGCAGGTGAAATAGTGGATTTAATTTGAACGGACAGTCGATAGTAATGTGGCGAGATTACTGTTACTTTTCGCCAATAGGCGTTCGCAATACTTTTCCATATATATATATATATATATATATATATATATATATATA